GCTAAGCTACACAAACCTCCATTTTCTTGGTAAGTACCCATAAATTTGATATCTCTTTCCAAAATCAACCATTATCCCAATCATTGTTTGTTTTCTTCTCTTATATCAACTCTGTGGGAGTGATGACTGCAGTTTTGGGAACGGAATTTTTTTTTTTAACAGCTTTACTGGGGTATAATTTACAAAACATAAAAATTTACTCATTGTTAAGTGTACAATTCAATGATTTTTAAGTAAATTTATAGTTGTGCAATCATCACCACAATCCAGTTATAGAACATTTCTACCATCCCAGCCTCCTTGTGAGAAGTGCATATATTTTTAAAGTTGCGTTTAAAAGTTACCTCTCCATCTCTAGTCTTAGACAAATAGCTATCACAGTATACCATAGTAGAATGTATTAGATTTGCTTAGCTTAAACTGGTCCATGTTGATGAGACTACAGAGAAATAAACTTATTGCCAGTAGCATTGATTGGTCTAATTTTTCCAGAGAAGAATTCAACAATATGCATTAAAAGCTATCAATCTGTTTGAGTTTTTTTATAGGTAGCACAATGTAGTGGAAGGAGCATGAGTTTGAGGATGAGTTGGTTTTAGCTTTAAATCTTGCTCTACCAATAACAATCCCATGTAATCTAGGAAAGTTATTTAACTTCTCACTAAGCTTAAGTGCCTTACTTATAGAAAGGAAACTATAGAAATTATCTAACAAGGTTGTTAGGGTATTAAATTTGGGATAATCCATGTAAAAGTTAACTGCTAAAGTACCCAACACATGGCAAATTATCATTACTGACAAATGTATTCTGTAATAGCAATATAACTTGATTTTCAAATTTAACAGATTTAAAACCATAGAGACAAGATAAAACAAGGAAGTCTTCTATTTTAAGTCAAATTATAGGAAGAAATTATGCAAACAAATAAAATTTTTAAAAATCTCAATGGTACTGGAAGCAGAAATTTTAATATAATCACTAAGATCAGCTGTAGCATGTACCTGAAAATAGATCCAGCCATCAACAGAAAGAAGACGTTCCCGGTGTTGAACTTCTATATCACCACCAAAAAGTAAAACTGGAAAAGGGGTTATCAGGGTGGTTTCCCTCAAATATACCCGAGCATACCTTATCTGCGTAGGAATAAAGAGAAAAAGGAACTTCTAAAAATATAAGAAATTGATTTATCTGTTTCATGTAAGCATTTCTCTATAATTTGCTACTACATATTTTAAGTCATAAGCTTTGTAAAGCTGCATGTTTACATTCTCTTATACGCATACTTTGCCCATTTTATAATAATCACAATCACCACTTGTGTATTTATACTATGGCATTTGAAACATTCTAATGCTGAATTATATACCTTGAACATAAATGAAACTATGAACAAGCAATTTTATAATGCTAATGCTGTTAAATAATTAATGCAAAAATAAAATTATGATTAAGCTTCAAAGTGGTTTCTAGATCAATGATCAGCTATGACCATTAGTCAGTAATGTCGCATGTTTTACATTTAAGTTTGAATGATATGCTGGGAGTTATTCAAGCCAGTGCGTGAATTATGGATCCTTGTTACTTTAACAAGCTATGATTCAAAAGGTTTACTGTTTTAATTGTAATCTATAAATATTTGCTATTAAATTATCTTAGGTTATACTGTAACTCAACACTGTTGCCATCCCATATTCCGCTTATTTGGAAATGCACATATAACATGTCTTTTTTCCCTTTTGAGACAGCACTTTTGGTGAAATCTCAGGGAACTGATACATTATTAAATAACATCTATTTGCTATAATTGTCTTTAAGTAGAAAAGATGATGATGGAGTAGAAACCTTAATATTTTTCTTTAATTAAATGAAAGAAATAAGGACTTGTTTTCATTGAGAAACTATGTACATCTTGATTTCAAATATGAACAAAAATGAATAACTCAATTTAAGAATTAAATATAATACTGGGTGGGGCATCCTAACGTGTTGAGTGACTTCTAGAATAATGCCCTGAATACTGGAATTTAAGAATAAGCACTTTACCTTCTCCTGGTATAAGAGCCATCCATAAGTTTGCAAATCTCGGTTTACTGAGGACGGATGTACTTGTGCTTTGCCTTGGGCTGTCTCCACAACGCATGCCAATTTTTCTGTAACATCAACTGATTTTGTATAGATTATCTTCCCCACGTTGTCATACAGTCCCGCGGCCAGTACGGCTTTAAGAAGGGCAATTTCTTGGAAGGAAAGGTTCTGTGAGTCTCTGTTTCCTTCCCAGCAATTGGAATTTGTGGATGATGAAAATCCTGCTGCCTTAACCAACTTTATTAACTCCTGCTTTACATCCTAGATTGGTTTATGTTAAAAAGAGACAAGATCATATTAATTAAAATAGAGAAACTGCCAAATAACCTTGTAATTTATATTACTGTTTCCTATCAAAATTCACAGGATGTCAAATTATTATTTAGTTAACTATAGACCAAATTAAATTGGGGAGGGAAAAAAAGATACTGGAAAGTCAAAGATTAAGTAGGCATCTGTTTCTGCTACCCCAAGACTTTAGATGTCATAAAACATAAGAATGTGTAAAATGTGAGAGCAATAAAAATATGCCCGAAGACATTTTCACTCAGTATATTTACTTCAATAGTAGCTCTCCTTTCAACATTTTACTCAGAAGACAGTCCCATAGAGAACAATATTGAGGAAGAATTATAGAGGAATCTTGATCCTAGACTGCAAGTACCGTCTTCATTTGTCTCTGGGAATCTCACCTTAATTTCCTAAAGAACTCTGACAAAGTTTATTAATGGCAACTTCATTTCATCTAAAATCATTGCCTAAAATCTTTTTCTACCTTTAGTAGTGCCAATCAGCTAAAATACTACTGGAAGGATGAGCATTTTTCAAAGTAAACAGGATACAAGTGATTAAAAGGTGACGTTTACATTTAGGATTTCCTTTAGGTGTCTGGTTTGGGGCCTAAGGGACTTTGATTCCAGGGGAGGAAAGACCAAACAGACAGCTGCTATAACACACAGGGTTGGTCAAGAGATGGAAAACCTTCCAGCCCAGGGAAGGTGAAGAAAAGGCTCACAGAAGGAAGGGGTGGGAGGCAACTTGGAGGTTGGGAGGAAGTGGAGTGGAGACAAAGGAGTGTTGATTAGCTCTCCACATCTTGAATTCCATTCAGTTGGCACAGAGGCTGCTGTTTCTTCAATTTATCCCTTTATCTGCTTCAAAAAGGACAAAGTTCATTCCACTTAGAGAAGTCCCTGCTGTCATCAAAGCAGTTATTTTAAATCACAAAAAATAATGGGTCAAATTATATGGGAATAAAATATTTTTCAACCTTTTAAAATATGAGTGCAGAATAGGGGAATTCTGTGACAGATACAGTAAGTTTATTTTCTGAATACTTTTATACCATATCTGTAGTAAATACCATTTCCCATGCAACAAGAACAAAAAGATAGGTGTGGAGGTGGCCTGCTTTTCATGATCACTTTACATTTTAACTACAATTCTACTCTCTCTCCTCCCAGAAATAATTCTGATCCTGAACATCAGTCAAAACCTGAGTGATGGGCAAAGTCATCAGGTTTTCCTTCTAAGAGCAGATTTATAAACCTAGTCACAATCAGCCACAGGGTAGGATGCCCAGGATGCCTTTTCATAACTATCATCCCACAGTGAAACTAAGTAGCTGGCTAATATATAGGAAAATATACAAGAATGTCATTTAAAAGGAATCAGGGCTTTTAGGAAAAATGACTGATTCCAGCCTGGAGTATAAAATGCACAAGATAAGCCTGAACATATTGTCAAACCCAAAACAAGGAAGCTATCAAAGACTGCTGAGGTTACATGAAAAGGAGTCAGGGGAAAGCATGCAGGGGCTCTCAGTAGCCAAAGGGGTCACTGTGAGTCTCAGAAAATGAACATCCACAGAGGACTGCAACACATCAAATATACTTAAGTCACTAAGTTCATAATGATGTTTACAAAAACAACATTCATTGATTACCTTTGGAGATGCTTGGGAATCAACTCATTATGAAAACTGCTAAGTAAAAGGAAAGAATCAAGCATTTATCCTAATTTTCTTTCTTTTCTTTTTGCAGGGAAAGATTTGCCCTGAGTTAACATCTGTTGTCAATCTTTCTCTTTTTTTTTTCCTCCCCAAAACCCCAGTGCATGGTTGTATATCCTAGTTGTAAGTCCTTCTAGTTCTTCTATGTGAGCCACCACCACAGCATGGCTACCGACAGACAAGTGGTGTGGTTCTTCGACCAGGAAACAAACCCCGGTCACCGAAGTGGTGAGAGTGCTGAAATTTAACCACTAGGCCATCAGGGCTGGCTCCATCCTCATTTTCTTGTAAAAACTATACCTCAGGATATCCAAATATTGATAAGGGAAAAGTCTTCTTTATGAAAGAACTCTAGCTAACAAGTAGAATTAGAATATCACCATTTTGCAACCCCAATGAAGCAATGGGTCTCAGTATTTTGTTTTTTGTGAGGAAGATCAGCCCTGAGCTAAGATCCATGCTAACCCTCCTCTTTTTGCTGAGGAAGACCGGCTCTGAGCTAACATCTATTGCCAATCCTCCTCCTTTTTTTTTTTTCCCCCAAAGCCCCAGTAAATAGTTGTACGTCGTAGTTGCATATCCTTCTAGTTGCTGTATGTGGGATGCGGCTTCAGCATGGCCAGAGAAGCCGTGCGTCGGTGCACGCCCGGGATATGAACCCGGGCCGCCAGTAGCGGAGCGCATGCACTTAACGGCTAAGCCACAGGGCCGGCCCCAAGTCTCAGTGTTATTAATGGCTGCTAAAACCATTACATGAAAAGCCAATGGGGAATTTTACAGTGGATAAATCTGGCTGACCCCACTAATAAATGTTAACACTACAAAAAGGGAGACAACTCCAAAAAAGAAAGAAATGAAAACTTGAATCAGATTAAACATCTATGGTAAATATAGGTCACAGAAGAACGTGCTAAACAATACCACAGGCATACAACCAGACGTATCCAGAATGCAGGAAACTGTATAGGACAAGTTACCTGGTTTCTTCAAAAAACAGCAAATAGGAAAAAAGTAAGAGAGAGGGGTAACTCTAAATTAAGAGACTTAAGAGATATCAACCAAATTAAATGTGTGGACCTTGTTTGGATCATGATTTGAACTAGCTATAAAAAGGTGAGATAATCAGGGATATTTAAATACTGTACATTTGATGATATTAAGGAATTATTATTATTTTTCTAATGTGTGATAATGTTAAAGAAAAAAAGAGTCCTATTGAGAGATACATAACAATCTGATGCCTGGGATTTGCTTCAAAAATAATGTAGAGGGCAGAGTGTGGAATAAGGGAAGTATAAATCAAGATTGACCACGTTGATAATTATGGAAGTGGGAAATGGGTACCAGGGGTTCATCATACTATTCTGTCTACTTTTACATATGTTTGAAATTTTCCATAATAATTAAAGAAAAATAACAACTGATTTTCAGAGTCGAGAAGAACTGTAGATTATCCCCATTCCATTCCTTTTTTTTTTTAATGAGAAACTGAGACTTAGGTTAATTAACTTTCCCAAGCTGAGCTGTTGTATAGACAACTATCCTAATTCCCAAGCTAGTGTTATTTCTAAGAAATCATGTTGCCTCTTTTTTTTTAATCATTTCCTGAATACATTATGATTATTAAATACTATTTTACATCACTATATAATACATACAGGTTACCTGTTGGGAGACACAACAAAACCAAAAACTACAAATTTATTAATTCAGCAAATGTTTATTAAACACTTACTATGTGTCAAGCACTATCCTAGGCATTTCTTTTGCCTAGGATAAATAAACCCATCAGTCAACTACATGACACTGAATTAGACAGCCGTATTAAGACTTACCTCTAGGGTTAACAGTGATGTTCTATTAAGAAAGTTCCTCCGACAATATGCTATTTCAGAACGATAGCCTCCTTCTTGTCGCGCTCTCTTCCATCTACATAAATAAGATGATTGAAGTTCAACATGTTTTCTTTTCAAACTCTCTTTTTCAGAGCCACTAACCAAAGTAAGCTTTAATTAAATTATAATCATTTGAAAAGAGGAGAGGGGCCCGGCCCCGTGGCTTAGCGGTTAAGTGCGCGTGCTCCGCTGCTGGTGGCCTGGGTTTGGATCCCAGGCGCGCACCGACGCACCACTTCTCCGGCCATGCTGAGACTGCATCCCACATACAGCAACTAGAAGGATGTGCAACTATGACGTACAACTATCTACTGGGGCTTTGGGGAAAAAAATAAATAAATAAAAAAAAAATTTAAAAAGAGGAGAGGTCTTGCTTGTTTTAGGATCTACCAATTGTATATAAGAATTTCAACTGCAATACAGGTATTTTTTCTGTTTATGTATAACAGTAAATTATTAACTTCAAATACGAGGTAACATACATATAATAGTACAAAGTACACTGTTCTTAAATTTTAGAAAGGATTATAAAAATATGAATCTTATAATTATACCTTGACAAAGTAACTAAAAATAAATTTAAATCTTATTTGTATCTTTTTAATGAAAGTCAAAGATAAATCTTTTAAAAAGTAAACCTGAGGTCATTACACCCAGATTATTCCTTTACCCTAGATATGCATTGTAGATCGTCAGGTGGTCTGAATCCGCCACAGCCAAAGTTGATTTTGCAAGATCTGCTTCATCTTTTCGACCAATTGGTGTGGTAAAAGGAGACTTCTCTGTCATAACTGCAGCTAGTGTTGCCTATCCATAAATAACCAAACAATTTATCAGTCAAGAGGTATACACTGAAAGCTGATTCGTAAAAGAAAGCAAATCATAAAACAATCCCACTTTTAAGTTGCATGTTTCTTCTTTTCAATACATTTATCATGTTCTACAATAGGTAACATTTTCATTTTATGGAATTTTAAAAATATATCACTTTTATACCACCTTTGTGAGATAAAGAGGTAATATCACCAGAATCAGAGATAACAAAACTGAACATTTGTGTAAATAATTTATAGTCTGTCACACAAAAGCAATACTAGAATCATAGCTCAGATACCTTGACTCCCAGCCTACTGAATTTCCATTAGGTGCAATGCTCTTTAAATACGTAAATAATTTAGACTACATAACCACCCATTTGTTGTTGTTGCAGCTTGTTAAATCAACTATCATGGCAGAGGTTATTTTTTGGACTCAGCACCATTTGGTATCTATTTCTAATTCTAGAGAAAAAGAGACTAGAGTAAGTCACACTCTCTCTGTTCTGTTTTTAAACAGCCTTGATTTGTAGTCCCAGAAAAGGCCACAGCTTGATAAAGTTGGAAAGTTGGAATGGCACAGCGGGTGTATGAGCCCAGCAATTCAGACAGAGGTACACATTTGTTAATTCTGAGATAATCTGAGAAAACAGAACTGCTGGTAATTGCTGCCTCAGAGAGAGAACCCAGAAAAAGGGGAAGAAGGAAGTTTTTGATTCTACTCATGAAAGCCTATGGGGTTCAAAGCTTCCTAAGAATCATCTACTACGTATTCAATTAAATATTTCAAGTGGGATGTTTGATAGCAAAAGTCTAGACAAACCAAACCCACTTACAAAATAGTACCTACAGTACACTTACATAAATGGATGAATATATTTTCTTGTATATAAATATAAAAAGTTAAATATTCAAAAATTCTCAAGCAGTCAGACCTCTTGGATTGCAATGTTAGTACATTCTATTTAGTTAAAAAAAATTTTTTTAATCGTTTCCAAACTTAATAATTTCCCAGCCAAAATGATATTTAAAGTGGAGAAGCAGCAGCGTTGTTTTTCTTACCACTGGGTCAAGGCAGCCAAATATGGCACCAAAAATAAGCATCTTGCCAATCTTGACATTCACAGGCAAAGCTGCAAGGTGTTGGCCCAATGGAGTCAGTTTAGGCTCATTTAGTTCACAAGCTCCAATTTTTCGGAGTAAATGCATTGCATTGCTGATTACTTGAAGCTGAGGAGGATCTAAGGCTTTGGAGAGGAAATCTTCAGGAGAACCAAGATTGCATTTCTGCAGGTTGAAAAAGAGTGATAAATTGGTATGTGATCAGAAAGAATTAACACTACCCAAAGAGATGGTCAAATTGGAACTAAATTGTGTTAAGTAAAATTCTGAACAAAGAGGATACATGTCTGAGTAACACTGTCCTATTCTTTTTCTCATAATTGGGAGAGTGTGTGTGTGTGTGTGTGTGTGAGAGAGAGAGGGAGGGAGAGAGA